ACCTGGCATTTAAATCAAAGTAAAATATAGCAATCTGGTATGTTAGTGATGTTGTCTAAAACAGTCCATCCACTGCTATGAAACAGAACTCTGGAAATGTTTATGCAGCTTGCAGCTTTTTGTCATAGCACTATTTTCATTTTCCCATTTGAGGAAATGAGAAGCTAAAAATTAACCATACATTGTATTGTGAACATCAACAATCATCTACATTGAAAATCTACATGAATGGAAAAAAGCTTGATGAGTTTTAAACAGTCTTTTGACTGCAGGCAGTCCCCGGGTTACATACAAGATAGGGACTGTAGGTTTGTTCTTAAGTTGAATTTGTATGTAAGTTGGAACTGGTACATATTTTGGGGGGGGGGGGAACGGGGAGCTGGATTTAGGTGGAAAAGACCTTGATTCTCATACAACTTCCTTATTCTAAGAAAAACGCATACTGTTTTGATATGAAGGTTTTTTTGGTTGATATTTTAATTAAAAATTGATCATAAGTTTCAGTATTTCATGCTATATCCAGATCTTCCTTTTGGGGTATCTGAAAGATCCCAGTTATTTAATAGTCAGAATCTTTGTTTTTTTATAACTAAAAAAAGTTTATTCAATGCATATTACTGTTCCAAATAGAATTTTCTACAGATGGTTCAGTGAAATGTGTATTAAGTGTAATCAATAGTCATTGGAGAGCACAGTGAAATAGATACAATCAAAGCTGTTGTTGTATTCTGCTGAGCAGAAAATGGAAATCCCTTCCTGTGAAGTGTGTGTGTGAATTTATCCACAGGATTAATTTTAAAGAAAAATTCTGTGTTGGGAACAAGAGTTTAGCCACAGGTGGGTCCTCATTGTCCACTCACCCACTTTGCAACCAGACCCATCCCCTGGGGGTTACCCTGCTCCGCTCCAGCCAGGGTGTGGGGTTGGGGCTTATCCCCTCTTCTCTTCTGTCCTGCTCCTTCCCATTCTTGCCCACCCACACCACTGGGTAATTTTTCAGCTTTACCTCTGGCAAGCTGGAAGGGACTTGTTAATTTCACGTGACGCTAACAAGATACTTGCAGCTCTAGTGCTGAAGCGGGAAAGAGCTGTTGCTCCCAAGGTGGGGACTGTAACACAATGGGTCTTACTGCCTGCTGCTCCTGCTGTTCCCTAGGAAATTAATTTTTCCGCTCTGGAGTGCCCCCTTTTGGCCGGTGTCTTGTTCCTCCCAGCAGACCCGCGTCCTCTGCGGTGAGAAAAGCCGCTCCGCGTCTCCCTGGTCTGCTGGGGGGAGGGGGGGCGCTAGCTCCGTGTCTCCCTGGTCTGCTGGGGGGAAGTGCCCCCCGTGCCGCCAGAGGCGGTGACAGTGGGGGAGGCACCCCGCACTAGCTGCGTCCCCCCTGCCCCCCATTTGTAACTAGGGATCCGACGTAAGTCGGATTGATGTAACCCGGGGACTGCCTGTATTAAATATAGATATGGATTACTGCGAGATCTAGTGGTTTTTTGGGTCAATGACCTGCTTCACTAAATCCCTCCATAAAGAGAGAGTTTCCAAGGTCAGTTGATAGTCACTTAACACTTTATCAGTGCTGTACTGACTTGTATATTCATGAATACACTTTTTAGTTTTTTAAAGTAGAAGAGTAACTTGGAATTCTAAATTACATTTAAACCTGGAGGAATGCCACATCTATAGTGCACCATACATTTTGTTTAGCATGTTATTGGACAAAATATAGCATAGATATTGTACAAAAGGTGACAGTGGGCAATTTCGATTCAGCAGTTGTGGTGATTGTTTCATATGAAGTAGTGCATGCAGACCTGTACATTTTAGACAAATGTTACCTGAGAGTTATAATGGAGTTGACCTGCAACATGTAAAATAACAGGTGTGGCTGTTAAAATTCCTTTTAATTACAGTAACTACAAGAAAGTTGAGAAAATGGCTGTCTATAGTTGTCTTTTTTTCTATGGCTAATTTTATATGTGCTTATTGAAACTTCATCCTCATCTTTCAGAACTGATAGTAATTAAAAAAGGCATCTCTCTAATAAAGCAATGTCCATCCCAGTTTTAATTTGGCTTGGATAAGCTTCTTAAACTGTAATAAAAGAAACAGTAATATAGATCATGAATGGAATTACCACAAGTACCTAAATGATTTGATGAAAATCAAAGGATCTTGTCCTATGTCACTGAAGTGCTTTGAGAAATACTGTCCCAAAACATACAATTTCTCTCATCATCATGCATTCACCATTCCAGTGGGAGTGATTATGACCATTGCAGAGTAGTCAGATGACGGAAGTGGTAGGAGCATTCCCTGAAAAAAGTTCGTAGTGACATACTACGTTATCGCTTTAGTCAAATCACCATTTAGCTCGTACAGAATATTCAAAGTATTAGTTTCGAGTTTAGCAAGTTCTTGTAGGTGTCCTTTACTAAAGCCTTGTCTACACTACCAAGTTTTGTCAAAACAGTGAAAGCATTCACATTGCAATGTGATTTTTGTCCGAGAAAACACCCACTTTTGGTGACAAAAAATGTCCATCTCCAGGGCTCGCCGAACCGCAGCGAGCCCTGCTCGCCAGCCTCGCTGTCCAGCGTTCTGTGCATGCGCAGATTGCCCTGCGCATGTGCAGATCGCCCGAACCCGGCTAATCCAGGTTGCAATCTACTCACCACGGGCGAGTAGACTGCATTATTTGTCAAATCCTGTCCATCTCATCCAAGACACTTTTTCTTTTCCCCTCCCTTTATGGTTGACAAAGAGCCAGTGTAGACTCTGCTGTTTGTTTTGTTGACAGAACTAGCTTTCCCCGCTATCCCACAATGCCTGCCCTACAGGCTCTGCTCAGTGTTTTGATCTCTGCTGCCCTGAAGTATTTGACAGATGAGAGAGCTGTGTTTGAGGAACAAAGAACAAATCATTGGAATGTTCTTGTTCTGTCCTGAATTGGGATCAGTGTCAGGCTACAGGGAAAGGGCGGGAGACACTGCTGTGCTGCTTTGATATTCCTCAGCTTAGAGAACTCACAGCGCTACTCATGATACTGCTCCCAGCAGCTGAGAAGCTGAGAGAACTTGGAGGGAATCCCAAGAAGTATGGGAATCAGCTCTGTCTTCCCACAACACTGCACTGTGGGATGCTTACCCACATTGTTTTGCTCTATTGGTTGACAGGGTGCTCACATTGTGGCTTGAAATGTTGACAGTGGGAAGCTAAAAAACCGGTTTGATTGGTTTCCACTTTTGGCACTTTTGCATGTCAGCAGCACTTTTGTCACCAAACCTTCCCAGTGTAGACATTGCCTAAGTCTGCATTAACTGAAACACTTGGAAATAGAATTGAGTACTTCAACAGATTGAATATTGCATTCCATCCAGAGAATAAAATATAGGTAACACTCTGCTTTTGTAGTGTATACTTCAGCTACCTCACGTTAGGCTTCTGCCTATTAAGCATTGTGGTTTCTCAGGCTGGCTTACACTCTAGAATGCTGTTACTCTTCCTTTTCAAGGAGGATCTCATCTATCAGAATCCTGCAGTAATAACCTTCAAGTCCTTTTCTTAGAGGGAGAAATGTTGTTGGATGTACAGTACTAACCTGAGCATTTTGTTTCAAGTTATGGGTGAAACTGTAAATGAACTGACTTGTTGCCAAACTACCGTATATACTCGAGTATAAGCCGAGTTTTTCAGCACAGTTTTTGTGCTGAAAAATGCCCCCCTCGGCTTATACTCGAGTCAGCCTCCTGCTCGGCCGGCCGGGTCTAGACGCGTGAGCCTGGAGCTCCGGCCCCCCTGACCCTGCCCTCCTGGCCCTTCCGGCCCCTGCCCTCCTGACCCTCTCAGCCCCCCTGTCCCCTTGTCCCCCCCAGCCCCTGCCCTCCTGGCCCTCCCGGCCCCCCTGTCCCCTTGCCCCCCTGAGCCCCTGCCCTCCTGGCCCACCCAGTCCCTGCCCTCCTGGCTCTCCTGGCCCCCCAGCCCCTGCCTGCCCGGCACCATGGGCCCTTGCCGCGTGGGAGGAAGGGCGTTTGGGGCCGTTCGCCATGACGCTCGGGTGCAGCGCTGAGCTCGGGAACAGCTGGGCCAGGAGCCGACTCGGCACCGTGGGCGTCTGTTCTGGAAGCGCCCGGGAGCCCTGATCACGAGCTTGGGCCCGATTCTGGGGCAGGTGCACAAGGACCAGCCGCTGCTCCCTGCTCCCCCTCCCCTCTCCTTCCCTCCCCTCCCGTGGTAAAATCCAGCCAGCACCGGCACCCGCTCCCCCCGCTGGCTCATTGGCCCATCGATGCCCGGCTCTGGTCTCTCACAGCCCCCCCCCCCGCTGGCTCGTTTAGAGGGGGCTCGTTGGCAGGCGAGGGGGCCGGAACGTGGGGGCTGCGGGGCCTGAGCTGTGGCTGTGCCTGCAGAACCATATTGTTTTTGTTGACCCCCTTTTCCCCTTACAGAGCTAGGTTATTGTTTTTCTTTGAAATAAATATTCATGTAATTTTATTGGTATCTATCTTCATTTTTTACATTTACCAGTAGCTGCCTCATTTCCTACCCTAGGCTTATACTCGAGTCAATATTTTTTCCCAGTTCTTTGTGGTAAAATTAGGTGCCTCGGCTTATATTCGGGTCGACTTATACTCGAGTATATTACCCTAGGCTTATACTCGAGTCAATATTTTTTCCCAGTTCTTTGGGGTAAAATTAGGTGCCTCAGCTTATATTCGGGTCGGCTTATACTCGAGTATATACGGGTAAGTCAGGCTTGGTCATACTTCTGGAGAAAATTTTTGGCTGTTTAGGCTGGTTGCAGGATGCAAATATGTTCAACTCAAGGCTTCATTCATATGTGGTCAGGTACTGATTATCTTTCACTTAGTTAATGAGCGTATAAAACAGTCCTTATTGAAAGCTTCTAGTGTACAAATGTGCAAAGAGTTCAAGTGGACAGTTCAAATTTGAAAAAATGTTCAATTTTACTTTGACTAATTTTTTTTTATTCTTGTCTTTTCAGTCCAAACCTTATGTATTTGATCATGTATTCCAGTCAAACACATCGCAGGAGCAAGTATACAATGATTGTGCTAAAAAAATCGTGAAAGGTAAGGAAAAACATTGACCTATATAATAAGGAACCCGTCACTAGACTGTTAAGTGGCTTTTACTGGTGAAAATTATGACACAGATCCATCTTTTCCCTTTTTTCCACAAAAACTATATCTT